TGTGGGAAGAGCTTCACGCAGGCAGCCAATTTAACTGCTCACAAAAGAGTCCACACGGGTAAGCTACCAAAAAATTGCTACAAAACATAATGGCACAGGAAAATTTGATAATTTCAAAACAATATGGGAAAAGACCGAAATTAAAATGATAATTTTAAGCAGAAATATTTCAGTCATTAAGTCGTATACATTCCGATTTTGACACCACAATTTGGCTTCCTTAATACGACGACTGTGCTAAAAAAATATTTGATTAAAACAAAAATGAATGAAAGTAGCGGCGAAAATTAAAGACAAAAGTGAAATTAAACTATAAGGAAAAGTGTGGGAAGTAAAGTACAGTATGCATAAATTACAATATCTTGCTGTGAAGTCTTACATGAAAATGCGAAGGGAAGACCCGGCGTGGCCCTGCACGTTGCAATGCGTCAGAGAAATGCATTAATAATCTAAGTAATTACAATGATTTTTAGGGTTTATTTCATTTCTTTTTTGATATTTTAGGTTTTTTTTTCCAGCCGTCGATAGAAACGGGTCTTAAGGATTACGCGTGCATGAACTGTTGTAAACACTGAAATTCGTTTTTTGGATTAATGTAGGGGCATCTGGAACGGCCCATAGTAAATGGTCTGGATTTTCATCCATGATGCTATCACCTTATCCATTAGCTTTGTTCTTGTGGTCCAGCATTTATACTTCCCCGAAATTACAGCTTAATAAATAAGCCTAATGTGTCTGATAGTTTTCTTAGTGTTTTTTGGCATATCATGAGCGCTATTCAATTATTTATTTAGTAGAGAAATGAAACATCACTTCGTCATATCTAATGCTTAACAAGGCACAGAATCCGAATAAATCAACTTATTTTCATTCTCTGAACATCATCAATAGCACTGAAATTAAGTACTTGATACATAGGGATATTTGTAAATCAAATAATCACCAAAGTAAAAAGGCCTTCCTGGTCAGCTTGTTCCTATTGATCCTGTATATGTACACAGTGTTTTGTCATCCAAACCATTATTTCCCATGATCCACAGTTACAGCATTAGTCAGATGATGGCGAAGAAAGTTAAGTATCCCAATTCAGCACATTTTACTGCCTTCTACAGCTAGGGCTGTGCCCTGCATGTCTCTTCTGGAGCATTTAATTTATATGCGTTTTGTGCTGTAACAATTGTTATGCGTTTTGTATTCGAAAAGTTGCACAAAACATGTATTGTCACAAACCTATTTGTGTGTGTTTGTTTGTCCGGCGCATTTTATCTCGTGTTTTCAACTCAAGAACGAAAAAAGCTAAGAAGCTAAAAATTTAGAAGTTTATTTTTTGTCTATGTGCGACACGGCAATTTCAAATTCAGTTTTCGCTTATTCCTAAACCTCACTTAAAGATACATGGGACTTTTGGTGCGGAAAAAATTAATTCGAGAGCCAGAAAAGCTAGAATGTTGAGATTTCAAGAGAATATTTCCTGCCCATGCGCAACTCCACAAATTTGAACTTGGCTCTCACACACTTCTGAATCTCAATACAGTCATGTGAGGGCCTGGTTGGGAATTTTCTTCCTCGAGAACCGGACAAGATGGAAGGCTGAAAACTTAAAATAATACTTCTTGTTAATGTGCAGCCCCGCAGTTTCAAAATCAGCTTCCATAACCGCTTACAACTCAATTCCATGTCCGCGTGCATTTCATAGCTCAAAAACTAGAAATCATTTTAACAAGCTTTGCATACTCCAAACTATAACGAAAACTTTTAACAGCAAATGCCCGCTGGATAGAACTGCTGGATAGAAACGGCTACCCTGGTACGCACCGCTCTTTTTTTAAATCAGTGCGACGGAAAGCAGTATCTAAGAAGTTGTACTGTCAGAGGCGATTTCACAGCATCAAAATACTTTTCTCAAATTAAAACTATCACAGTCATGACCAGGCGGACAGTCAGAGTAAATGATTTTACTGGGATGTTCTCATGTGCTGGATGCAGTCGCATTAGGCCCTACAATCCTGAAATGCATAATTCCTGCTAGTGCCACCAGTAAGGCTGTTCGACGAGAAAGTAGTTTCCGTGAACGATTAGGAACGGGAAATGATAGGGGCTGAAGTGTGTTTTTTTCTCGTACTCGTATTTAGGAGGCGATAAATTTATTAAAATCGAATAAGAAGGATATGGCTAGTTGTTCTGAAGGACAAAAAATTTTGTTCCGAATCCGCAAATTTTGTTATGCAACAGTCGATTTTAGCTGTGTAGTGCGGAGTTGTGATTAAAAATGAAAAGTGGGTACTAGGAAATAGAATATTACAACAAACTGATACGTGATTCTGTGGCCAAGAGATACCAGATTTTGTGATTTGACTTTTTACAGTTTTTGGGCCAATTCCCACCTCTTGCCAGAACTGGCCCTCCACACAAAAGGATTTTTCTTAATATCACTGCTGTAAAAAAATTTCATTTCCAAACATATGCATCAGTTCCATTTGCTAATTACAGGTGAAAAACCATTCTCCTGTCCAGTCTGTCTGCGTCCATTCTCACAAAGTTCATCACTGGTCACTCATAAAAGGTGAGTTTTATCCTATGCTGTTTGAAAATTCTGTTTTTTTTTTCTTTTTTTTTACAATCATATCGACAAAAG